AAATCCCACAGTAAAATCACTGCAGAGTTATGCGCCCTAAGATGCTCTACGATTTCACAAAATTGCTAAATATCAAAAGCTGTAAAATTTCAAGTTCAGTTTAGAAAGTCAAAGCATTTCAAACCCAAAACAGAAATAGTTTACACGGCATATGATCCTTCAGAAACAACTTAAAAATAGTTGATTAAAACACGACGGATTCTCACAGTTCTGTAACGAAGTTTTAAAGAACGTCGGTTTTTTAATTCCTCGAACACTAATGTACCAAAAGCACGGCAAGACTAAATCACTGAAATAATGTTTTACCAAGATCAAAATTGAAAAAACTCCTACAAAGTGCTGAAAAAATCCTGACCCAGCCTTTCCAACCTGATGCAAGAGTGGCTGAGGACTATTTTGTAGGAGTTTTTTCAATTTTAATCTTGATAAATCATTAGCCCAGTGATTCTTTTTAAAAGATAACTCGGTCTTGCCGTGCTTTGGTATAGTTTTAGTGCCGAAACATAGCCGGTTTCAACTATTCGCAATCCGAGTTCGTGCCTTTTCGACATTCTCGAAACAGCTTATTTTCTGGGGGAAAAAGTAATTCAACGGAAGTAGGATACCAACACCAGGCAATACAGTTGTAATCAAAACCATCGCGAAAATAACTTTTTCGTTACACTGTCAGCTTACAGATGCGCTACAAGGAAAAGACAACTAAGCTAAGATCAAAGCAACAGAAGACCAAAATTTGATGAAACCAGTCAAACTCAATGCATTTTGAGCTGAACACACAGCTGGTGTTTGACTTTTCAGCAGAAATTTGCAAAGTATGCGAATATACCTTTTTTGAGGAAGATGATTTCGAATCTCGGCGACTGCTGTACTTTCGTTTCGGATCATCCCAACTTGCGTCGCTTTCCACATCTGTTGAGCGTGATTTCCGACGTTTTCTTCCGCGAGTCCTCGTACTCTCATCTTTCCTCATCCTCTTCCACTCATGCTTCGCTTTAACTATAAAAATTTCGGAAATTCACACAACAATGCGTCAGTTACACAGCACTCTTCAAAATTTCTAAACCAATCGGCTTATCGGGATGTGTAAAACTCTTCACATCGAACAGAGCTGGAGCGGAACATGTCATATCCAAAACTATTGGAAAAATGCGAATTTTTTCCCGTTTTTTGTGAGTAACCTCCTCATAAGTAAAACCAGTGAAGGATCGGTACATCGACGGTCCAGAATGGTCGAAGCGGGTGAAAAGGCTTTGCGAACTGTACGGTGCAGCAGGAGGATCAACAGGCCGACCAATGAGATCAGAATATCATAGTTCCAAGCAGGCATCAAACTCTCCACAGCGCATTTGTTCATAAATTTGGGATGAGCACTCTCAAAGCGCATGTGAGGTGCGTCAGGAATTTAATCCGATAAAGTATCGACGAATTAACTAACAATAATAAGATCGTGTCATTGGCATGACGAACAATTTTTTTGCACCAGCTATATTCGACGGAACCCGAACCTGCCTGCATCGCATCCATCCTGGCTAGCCAGGCAGAAAAATTGACTACCGGGGAGGTCAAAGGTCAACCCTGCCAAGCACAGGCATGCATTTTTTGAAAATTCCTGCCACAGCAATCGTCCAGAATTACCAGTCTGCATTTTACTGCACAGTTTGAAGCGCACTGCCTGTCAAATGACAGCAGCACCAAAGTTTACCAACCTTCTTTCGATTTTGCAGTAGCAGCTCGATACTCCCCGGCACCTTCACTTTCGTCATCCACTACTTCGCCTTCTTCATTCTCAGCATTCTATAAAAAAAAAAAGCCGTCAACATGAAATCCCTCTGTCGCCAAAAAGTTGCCTAGACAGACGTAGCTGCCAACTTCATCCATGTATAAGCCAAGCTAGAGACACTTGCCCACGGGGTAGCGATTGTATTTGCGACATACCGGTGTTGGTTCCTTCGCCACTGCTGTTCGATGAGACGTCTCCTCACCGCCAGAGCGGCGTCTTCGACTGCGATCTTTCTGAAAAACCTCGTACATTTTGCATGATCAAAACAAGATAACACTAGTATTTTTGATGAACTACTGAGCGATCCAATCGCTGTGCAATCGATGACATGATTTACAATTGTTATGCGTTTTTGCATCTATGCAATGCAGAAACGAAGGGTTGTCTGTGCGTGTGCGTCTGTACCGATTTTTCATCTCCAGACCTACAAAAGCTACAAGGCTGAAACTTTGGAAACTTAATCTACATGCACATATGGGCCTCCACTTTCAAAATGAGCGCTCTTATCCAAAGTGGTGCTCGCGTGCGGGCCCATGAAAATTTTTTTTGCTAGCGCTGAAACCAGAAAAACTATAAAGCTGAAATTTTAAAGGGATGCTTCCTGGCAGTCCTGGTGGCCAGTCTCAATTCTTTTAGTTAGAAGCATTTGCCGGAAAAAACTGTGACGCTGGCGAAACAAATCTGCGAGGAATTATGCAAAAAACGCATCTCCGCACCGGCAGTCGGTGCACTGGCCAATTATGTTTTCCTTTTCTTCACACTTGCTAAAGGCTATCTGTCCAGCTCTAATTCTTCTGCTTAGCTTCAAATACAACTCAGTTTTAACCAGTGCTGTATGCTCCAAGTAACCAGAGCTATGACACATGCAGTAAAAAAAAAAAAAAAGATAAAAACGCATGGAATCCCAATCATCCAAATGGGCCCTAGGCGGGCAAAATGAGAGGCTCACCTTGCTGCTATCGCCACCATTTCCATCCGTTCGTTTTCGGCTGTTCCTAGCCGCAACCATTGTCCACAATGGCACCTAAGACGTCATCAGATAGTGGATTTTCGTGCCAATAAAGTTATTTTTTTTTGCGCATAAAGGGTGAGGGGTCGTAACCGATTGAAAATGCAGGGCGAGGGGGAGTGCAAATATGAACGGCACATGTACGAGGGAAAAAGACGGGTAGTCTGTAAAGTGCAGCATTTGAGCGAGGACAAATGTAAAAGATGATGCAAAATGACGCTTCTGAAGAGGTAGCATGACTACCAGGATGAAACGCCCAACAACTGTCCAGGAGGGTGCCGGTTTGCATCAAAGAGATGCACAAGTTGACAAGATAAAAATAAATGGCCAGCGCACGGACTATCGTTGCGAAGATGCGTTTTTTGCATAGTTCACCGCAGATTTTTGTCGATAACGGCACTGTTTTTTTCAGGTAGATGCTTTTAGCTAAAAGCATTTCAGACTGGCCGCCAAGACTGACAGAAAACATCCCCTCAAAATTTCAGCTTTCTAGCTTTCCTCATTCCCGTGTTAGCAAAAATCTTCACGGGCCCTTACGCATACCTGTGCGCTGGGTTGGAGCTCGTTAAGACCTACATGGACCAAGAACATCCCGTTAAAATTTAGCTTCCTAGCTTCCCTCGTTCCCAAATTAGCAACTTACCCACCCAAAACTTTGACGGACATGTACGTGGAACCCACGTTGACAAGGGCACTCATTTTGGGGATGGGGCCCGTACGCGCATGCAGAATAAGTTCCCAAAGTTTCAGCCTTGTAGTCTTTGTACATGTCGAGATGAAAAAACGGTACAGACACACACGCACGGACAACCCCTTGACAATATGAGTTTTTGCATTGCATAGATGCAAAAAAAAGCATAAAAACGGGCAAAGCCACACGAAATTTTGCGAAGAGACGAAAAGAAGACACAAAAGGTAATCCACAACAGATGGAACCATCCAAGAAGTTGGAATCGAGAAACGGAAGCACGAAAACACTCCATCCCGGATCGCTACTTGGAAGGAGGGGTGGCGCTTTTCCACCTTCCCTTGGCAACTACTAAAGTTCGGCACGGCTCGGCTCGGCTAGCCCTCGGCCGGCCTCGGCTGCATCTCGGCTGCCCCTGGCAGCGGCACGAAACACCGGTTTATGAAGCAATTACTAAAACTCGGCTCGGCTCGGCTCGGCTGGTGTCTTACACGGTCAGCCAAAAATTTTTTTATGGAGGACGGGTACGGTTGCCCGTTGAGCCTTATGCTACTGGTACGGTGAGGGCTATTACGGTGAGGGCATATAGCTGTGGGACATTGTGAATGTTT